CAGTACGTATTTTTAACATATTCCTTTATGTTTAAAATTGTTGTTGTACCATAATTATTAAGACACATATATATTATATATATAATTTCAATTGGTAACAACCTGAAATATAACTTACATGATCTTTAATTACCAAGATATGGTAAAGACTGTGATAAAGAAATAACTATGATCTTTGTTTTCTTATTTATTTAATTTTGTTATTTAGGTAAAAATACGTACACATGATAACTTTCATACTTAAAAGTTGTCAATAATTGTGACGCATGCTTAATGTGCCATAGTATGGCAGTACATTGACTTTTTAACCAGTTCATTACAAAAATGATTTACATGTTGTTCTTTAATAAACTATTCTAATCCACCGATAGATATTGACTTCTTTATGTTCAAAAACGTACCAATATGTTGTTTTAAAACCTAAATCACAAGTTTAACAAACACGCAAATCAATGGGTTTTAAATTATTAACAAGATATTAAAGTCAGCAATTATTGAATAAATGCTGCCCTCTAATATGTGCACGTGTCCAACAGAATCTTAATCCAGTTTGGTACTAAACAATGTATAATGACTTCTTTATAAAACTATAAAACACCACCATTTTTTAACATCAAAACAAAACTTTATTCTTAAGATCCAATTAAACTGTTCATTTAAAGTCTTATACATATATACATAAACATGACTCGGTTTATATTCCGGTACGTTAAAAATAATTTCAAGAAGGTTTTCAACCTTATTTCTTATATGTTTCGGGAGAGGTCCGAGTGGGAGCATTCAGAGAAAAACACTTATCCCGTTTTCAGGCCTTAACCAGGCAATGAATCTATAACTTTTTTTTTACAATTACCTCAAGTACTATAGTCATTCTTTGGTGCGCTACATGATTTTTAAATACTCTTACATTTTCTTATGATAAAATTGTATTTTACCTTCGAGTCGACGAAAAAATGGTCCAAGTGGGAGCATTTAGCAGGTGCGCGATGACGTAGTATCCTACCATTGAAACTAAATCTTTACATTTACTCTTAGAACACTTCAATGACATTCTGTCCTTTGTTTATGCTCGATATCAGAGAATTTTGATAAATTATATTACATAAAGGGCATGTTAATAATAACAAAATGTATTTTGTTTGTTTTTTTTAAGAGAGGAATATGCATGTCTCTTCAAAGATAAGTATTGTTGACACTATGTGTAGAAAACGAGTGTTACATCTACCGGATACTGTGACGTGGACTGATAAATCGGCGGTGGCAACATATCATGATACTACACATTATCTTATTTATTTAACAGAAATAAGTTTAATTTGAAAAAAATGAAACGGAAACGGATGGCAGTAATAATTCACTAAAGACAACCGGAAATTAAAATAATATTGAAGCATTTGATCAGTTAAAACGAATACAAAACCAAGAAAATCGAGAAAACGTGCATCTTTTATACGGTACTACGATATAAATCGAGGCTTTGGTCATCTATAAAATATCACTTGATATTTGTCAAAAATGTGCTTATATGCCTCATAGTTTTTAATATCTTGAATATTACCTAGTATTTTTCTGTATGTTTTAGAATACGTATATAGTTGAGTTGGTGGAAAATTCTGTGTTATCATTCATATCTAGAATGATATAGAGTCTTCATGTTTCCAGAACGTCATTGGGTCGTAACACCAATTGCAGTCTCTTCTGAAAAAAGGGCATTTTTATTCGTTACAGAAAAATACCAATGCATCAGAACAGATCCCACCCTGCCTGGGATTCAAACTTATGACCCCCACGTTTGTCCAATACATGGAATTCTGTTGCCGCAATTACATTTAACTCAGTTGATAAAATGTTTCATAGCTTGCAAATCTAAGACTGATGTAGTAATTAAAACATCCTTTGAGTGTAATTTTGGAATGTGATATTATAATTATGACAACGCTATTGCGCAGTGGGATATATTACGTTTATATACCATTTGATACAACATTCTGGGCATTTTTAGCGATTTTTACACGAATAAAATTAGACAAAAGCAGCGATCTGTTTCTCTTTTTTTCTTTAGAAGATCTAAATATCTTACAATACAGATATGTGTACATGTATATATAATATTATTTTCTATGTTTTTAGTGTAAACTTCCGCCTTTTAACGTTTGAAAAGTTATCTGATCACCACATGATGTACAGTTACTAGGCCTGTCATTCAAATAATGTAATACAGAATAATCATTGGTGCATGGAAATAAAGTATTTATTGTGAAATACGATAACTTTACTGACGTCATTATTGACTAATTTTATACTTGACCTACTAGTAAAAAGAAACGTCTTAAGAGTATCTTGATCATGGACTTGATCTCAGATTTGTTTAAGGTTACATAACACAGTACCCATATATACAAAATCATAAAAAATGTCATCTTATTAGCGGCCCAAATATAACAAATTTTCGGAATACCTTTGATGTGGTTATAGTCGTTAAAAGAATGACACCTTTATACATAAGAATAGTGTTTCCATAGAAGATTTTTATGAGCATTTTTCTACCCTAAGTAATGATTTGCCAAATGTTTTACATGCCGAAAGTGAATTATTTTGTGAAAATTTAGATTTTTTTAGTAATGATGTACTGTACGAGGAGCTAGATGAACCTATAACAGTTGATGAGATAAATTGTGTTATTCCTCATTTAAAGAAAAATACGGCTTTTGCAGGTGACCAGTTATTGAATGAGTATTTTATAAATTCGTCCGATATTTTATCATCGCATTTAGTTGATATTTTTAAAGGTATTCTGAACTCTGGCTTTTTTCCAGATTCATGGATGGAAAGTATTATTGTACCTCTGTTTAAGAAAAATGACCCTGCACTTGCTAGTAATTATAGAGGAATCAGTCTCGTTAGTTGTTTTTCAAAGATATTTACAGGTGTTCTGAATAACAGATTGACAAAATGGTCTGAAGAAAAAGACAAAATTAGTGATGCACAATTTGGTTTTAGGAAGGGTCGCTCCACAGTTGATGCAATTTTTGTTTTAAATGCTGTTGTTAATAAAATTTTAAATGAAAATGGACGTTTAGCATGCGCCTTTATAGATTTTCAAAAGGCTTTTGATAGTGTTTATCGTAATGGTTTATGGTTTAAACTATATAATATTGGTGTACGTGGAAAAACTTTAAGAATCATCCATGATATGTACTCTAAAGTAAAAGCACGAATAAGGGGCTGTAAATCATATTCAGATTTCCTGGAATGTTCAATTGGTCTTAAACAAGGGGAGGTAATGTCCCCGATATTGTTTTCTATGTTTTTAGAAGATTTAGAAATGTATTTATTAAATGATATTAATTCTGGTTTAACATTAGATGATATTACATTTATTCTCATGTTATTTGCTGATGATATTGTTATTTTAAGTAAATCCCCTGAAGACTTACAAAATAGTTTAAATACATTACATAATTACTGTACTTTATGGGGCCTTAAAGTAAATGAAGGTAAAAGTAAGATTATGGTTTTTAGGAAGAGGGGTCCGATTAGAAATAATGAGTATTGGACATATAATAATATTCCCTTAGAAATAGTCGACAATTTTAATTATTTAGGTACTGTTTTCAACTATACAGGTAGTTTTACTTTAAATCAAGAGTATTTAGTAGGGAAAGCCCTAAAGGCGTTAAATGTTTTATTGTTCAATTTAAAACAGACACCAGTTAAATTTAGTACTTCTTTGCAATTATTTGATGCTTTTGTTGTATCTATTTTAAATTATGCCTGTGAAATATGGGGATTTAGTAAAAGTAAGGAAATCGAACGAGTACATTTAAAATTTTGTAAGTCCATGTTATGTGTTAAGCAGTCAACTAGCAGCATGGCTATTTATGGTGAGCTGAAAAGGTACCCTTTATATGTAAACAGATATGTACGTATTATCAAATTTTGGTCAAATATTGTTAACAGTAATAATGTTATAGTTAGATACTAATATACATCAATGTTAAATGATATTAATAGAGGAAAAAATAACTGGTTGTCTAATGTGAAATCATTGTTAGATAATGCAGGTTTGTCATATATATGGTATAATCCAAGTATTTATAACCTTAAAAATGTACATTTATTATTTAAGCAAACTCTTATTGATCAATTCATCCAGTCATGGTATCATAATGTAACAACTAGCCCGAGCCTAGGCACATATAGACTTTTTAAGACGTCATTTGATTACTCACTGTATCTTGATAAAATTCCTAAGAAATTTAGGATTGCTTTTGCAAAATTAAGATTGTCTTCACACCAACTTAGAATAGAAACTGGACGGTATGGTAATTGTAGAACTGAACGTAGTGAGAGATATTGTCTTATTTGTAATTCACGTGATATAGAAGACGAATTTCATTTTGTTTGTATTTGTAGTGCTTATAATGATATACGTAAACAGTACTTAAAGAAATATTATTATAATAGACCTAGTGTCCATAAATTCGTTGAACTAATGCAGAATACCAACAGCAACATGCAACTTAAATTATGTAAATATATATATGAAGCGTTTGAAATACGTCAGGGTATTGTTAATATGATATCTGAATAAGCTTATTACTGTATATACCAAAAATATACTAATTGTCCGTGTTATAATTCAATAATTTCATGAACTATTTGACTGATTTTGACTGTTATTTAGCTGTAAGTCATTAAATATACAAAATCTCCATTAGTTCAACCTCCTTGTTTTCTCGCTTCCATTTTCTTTCTTGTTTTTGACTATATGTATCATATTTTCCGCTAAAAATATAATTGTCTATAAATTTGTGTCATGTTGACAAGTTATATTGTATCATTGTATATATGTATTGTGTAGCAAGAAACGTCATGTTTACGTTACCAAATAAAACATTTTGAATCTTTAATCTTTGAATCTTTATCTATTAGTAAAATAATCTTTCTTGAAAAGTAAAGATATATTTTAGCATTTTACATTTTTCTTTTTCAGGTTAAGCCAATCACTTCAAGACACGACATAACTTATAATTCTTAAGTGGGAAAGCAATGGCTTCATATAGCCCTAAACTGATAGAAAAGAAATACAATAACTGGGTTAAAGCTCAGTTAGCAGTGTTGTTTACTAAAGAAGGGCTTGAACCATTTGTTTGTAATGAAATTCAACAATTTCAACAGAAATGCTTAGATGATATTTGCTACAACAATGGACTGTTTAGTGGGACTTGTTGTTCAACGTGCTGCACTGAAAATCTTATTAATTGCCCTACTGACAGCATATGTAAATTTAGGCATAGGAAATGTACGTACCATCGAAATGTTGCAACACGGTACAATCCTACTGGCTGTCCTTACAGCATATGTCATCATTTGAAAAATGAAATACAGAATGCACATAGGTACAACGATCCGTCGTTCAAAAACACAGATGCTAAACAGTGGTGTAGTAATTTCTGGGAAGTGGCAAAATGCTTCATGCCCCCAGATGGGTATAAAGATAAATCATCTGCAGCAGAAACAGACTTCAATGGTATAATCAGCGTTATCCTTAATTACAAAGACTTCCAGGGGAAATTACATGAAAACCTCATTAATAAGATGAATATATTTGAAGAGGTAAACAATATTTATAAACCATTTATGAATACTTATGTTATGTCCTTAGTTAGCAAAAACAGCATTTATATATTTCAATGATCAAAGGTAAAATATAACAGAAAGTATCAAATATATGATACACATGCTACATGTACTGTTTTTTTTTAATCATGCTTTCTGAAAATAAAGCAAGTATAGTTACATCTGGGAAAAGTTCAGAGAGGGTTGGTAGGCGAGTGTTAAGATTATATTCTGCTCTCGTCGTCTACATTTTAATAGTTTATTAATATTTAAGGAATTTTTAACCTACTTTAACAGAAGTATTTCCATCACGTGCCTAGAGGCATATTGATAGGGTTTTATGATAAAAAACTATTGGGGAAATAGTTGCCTTTTTACATCATAGAAATAATCATAAGAAGGCATCTCCGCCTCGTCTGTTATATAGTATCTCTCATAGCAGATTTTATTTCCATTAAAAACACATATAACCAAAAAAAATGAAAACTAAGGGAAATTCTTGTCTTCAAACACTTTTACATTTCTCAGAGCCTTAAATTTCAGTTTAAACCCTATAATTGTTATAAAGTGTCCATGACATATTGTCAAGGTTTGTATTATTATACATTATTTGAAATTATATCTGGTGAAATACATGATTTTGAAACAATTTATGTTGATTTTACTGTAATACTTGTAAGAGGGATACTAGTGCGATAAACTTCAAAACGATAAATACCTTGGTATTGTTTGACAGTGGCCCTTTGCATACAGCAGTTGTAAAAATGCAACCGTCAGACCACTTCCCTAGCTATGATTTTTAAGTCAACATACTCTGATTGTGTTTGTAATACATTTTATATACATGTACTTGTAAGTAATGTTTTTACTTTAACGGAACAGTTTTCCAGTTAAGAGTATATTTTGTAATCACCTTATAGGTTTTAAAGAATTTGTATTCCATTTTGACCAGGCCAGAGAAATTGGAAGAACTGTGCGACATTCTTCCTCGCTTGAAGTAGAGGATTCGGAGCTTCAGAAATACTTTCAACTATTACAGAAACTACTTTCTGATCCCGTATATTTAGCTACAGACACGCATGCACAGAATGCTAAACAGAAACTTACAGAGGTAAATATTTGAATACACTAAACATTTCATCGTATGGCTAGTGTCTTTAGAATGATTAATAATAAGTGTAATTTAAGTAAAAGTGTATACGTCCAATTAAATACTTTTATTGAATTTTTGAGCAAATCATGTTGTTTAAATGATAGAAATGCACCGTTTACCTAAAGTTATGTAAGATTGTCAGAAGTGTTGTAACCCAGAATGCCTTTGTCATTTACAGAACATAAGTATTGTACGCAAACATAATACACTATTTGGGGAACAAAAAATAGTAGGCTGTGATAAAAGTGAACCGTTTTGCAATGGCTCGTATGCAAATATACAAAAATGTTTTATTAATACTTTTAAAACATAGAAGGATATCTCAGAATGCCCTAAGAAAGATTCACTTCTTGGAGATTTTTTTCATTTTCACGCATAATATTTGAAAAAAAAAAAGAATATTGTCAGAATATTCAAACAAATACACGGCTATAAGTGGTGTATGCTGAAGATTTATATTAATTTTCAAAATGTTTTGTTTGTAAACAAAGTCACGGCCAAGTTTTAAAATACATGTTAAAACCGTAAACCTGTAAACAATTACGTATATGATGTTTTATCTTCTTTGTAATGACTCGTATCATTTTTTTGTTCAGCATACGATTTACATATCAGTGATTAATAACATTGCACAGGTATTTGTTACAAATAAATATACTGTAGAAACAAATTATCTTTGAAATGTACACTTTATTGAAATTTACACTACAGTTTTATATCATGTTGTACGTATGAAGAGACATAATAAACTATTTGACTTGACTTGACTTGACTATAATAAACTGATATCAAATTCTGTTGTATATTGATATATTGTATATATTTTATGGTATTTTATAATAACAGTTAGAAAATGACACTCTTGTCATTGGTAAAGATGATATAAGGAAAGCACTAGACGATGCGGCAAAAGCAGTTCAGGACAAGATAAAGACTGGATTAGATGAGCAATATGACAGAATTAAACAAGATCTTGAATCACAAACTGCCGAACTGCTGAAACGACTAAATGAAGAAGGTGATAAAGAACGGACAAAACTTGCTGAGACGTTACTAAAAGCAATAAAGTCAGCAAGCAAAGACGAGAAAGACGAACAATATATTGAATATAAACAAAGTGAGTGATAAAACATCACATGAAATCATTTGTTTTCCATGTTATAGAACTATAACTTATCTATGTACTGTCACCTCATAAAAATATAACTATTGAAACCCCAGCTTTGCACTACATGATGTTCTAAGATCATCGACTCATTATTGGATCCAATGCTATCATTAAGTTATTCTCATTATTTCTTTCCTGAGTCCTAAAATCTGTATCAAATACATATTGCACTCCATCAAGCCTTCCTTTCATTTTCTGAGTCCGAACTGAATCCATATCAAATCCATTTTGTACATCGTGTATTTTCCGAGAACAAAAAGTCTATATAAAATACATAATGGACTCACAGTGACTGCATTTGTAATATACATTTGAGCCACGCCATGACAAAACCAACATAATGGGTTTGCGACCAGCATGGATCCAAACCAGCCTGCGCATCCGCGCAGTCTGATCAGGATCCATGCTGTTCGCTATCAGTTTCTCTACTTGTTATAGGGTTTGTAAGCGAACAGTATGGATCCTGATCAGACAGCGCGGATGCGCAGGCTGGTCTGGATCCATGCTGGTCGCAAACCCATTATGTTGGTTTTGTCGTGGCGCGGCTCATTTATGTAAATTAAATACTAAAATATCTTAATTATTAATTGTTGATCCTAGGTGTTATCTTTAATCAAATATATTTTTTCCTCAGAAACATAATTGGTAAAATTAAAAGAGTTTGTCACACATTGTTGAGTATCATACTGATTCTAGAAAATATATTTTAACATAAGCGACTAAAGATTAACAGATCCAATACAGGGAAACAGGGCCAATGCAGAAAACAGCAAGGCCATTGTGTAAACGAAGTAATTTGATTGGTTAAGAATTATAGCCGATACGTAAGCGTTGATACGTATTTAAAAATAAGAGCCGCAATAATTATGTTGGTATTTAAAAAGTCTTAAGCCAAAATAACAGGGGAAATACAAAATGCCCAGATCAATAATATTTACGTTTATACGCAACATTGTATAATAAAGTTATGATTGTATATGGCAACATTTTTGTGAACAATCTTTTTTAAACTTCAAATGTATCCTCATCACTTGTTTTAAAATTTTGAAAGCAATGTATCTCAGGTATGCGATCCAAGCCTTTCATGAGCGCCTTTTGTTAAATACTTACGCTATAAATAGTACAAGTGTAGTTAGCGGCCAACAGCCTTTCAAAAACTGCGCCTCTTGACACATAATCAAAACAGAAGTACAGGGTACTTAAGACACCATTTAAAGTCACGACTTGCCTCTAGATGGTAAAATAAAAACAAATTACTGACAACTAAATTCAAGAAAGAATGTTGACATAAGCGTGAAATATATCGTGTTTCTACTTTGCGTAATCTACTTCGTTACTGATACAGTAGCCAATATTAAAACATTTAAATGGTCACGTATCAAAACAGTGGTTTTGAAAAAATCCCGATATTCGGTACGCCCGGGGTCGTATATCAATGTTCGTCAATGAGTAGGCCCTAATCGTATTTCAAGATAAAGTTTTAATCGATATATTGGCCAATAGGCACTTGGTTTCGAGATAAAAACCCTTTTAACAATTTGTAGAACTGAAATTTAATTGAATGTAACAGTTTTTAAACGTAGATGTCTCTTTTCAAAAACCTTCATTTTTCCAATGTTACTAAAGTTTTTAATTCGTCTTGTACAATTACGTTGAATGAATGAATGAATGAATGAATTAATTAATTAATTAATTAATTAATTAATTAATTAATTAATTTAGATACATAAACCAATAAGTAGGTACGATTACTAAAGACTGTAATATTAAAGGGACTCCACTGAGGTACATCTATTTGAAATAAAGGGACTTAAAATATTTTTTCGAGATTTATGTTCCATTTAATTATAACTTGAGTTTGAAATTAAAGATCATTCGCTCACTCTGTAATCAAAGAATTATTATTTAAATTATAAAAAGTGACACAAAAATGAAAAGCGTTGCAACATTACTCACTCAAATCGAGCTTAGAAATACACAACAAAACTATTTTAATTTTATTTCTATTTCATTTTTATTTATATTATTATTCATAAAAAATGACAATATTTGTATCTGAAAGCAATTTGCGAGAATTAATAACTACGGTAAATAAAATTATTCGCGCATATACCTTGCAAAAGAAATATATCCGTAACAGAAACAATATATTGTAGTAAATTGCGAAAAATGTTTTTTTGGGGGTTTTTTTGTATGAAGGTTTTTTTTAACAGAAAATAAACATTTTAACCTCTGCATCATTCGTATTCTTATTATTATCTGTTTTTGAAGGATACCAAAAAAAACTTCGACATAAGAACACCGACTTTTTATGTGTGTACAATTTTTTATGTTTTTCTTCTTCTTTTTTTCCATTTTATTATTTTTTAGTAGTTTCACTTTATTTATTTTATTTTTGTTTTTTTAACGTCGTCTTAAAATATTAAAAGTAAGTTCTCCGCGGTGATCGCCGACAAATATCATGAAACATGGGAAAATCCCTGTGTTCAAGAATTAAGTTTTGGAAGATTCAAAATCATTTGTTATGTTTTAAATTTTAGCAGTATTGCATACCGTGGAATTTTTAAGACATCTATATTACTGAGTATACTAACATTATAAAATAGATATCAAACCTAACACGTACAAAGTAATCTCCCTTTTTAATGTTATGACATTTTGGCCGGCCGGAATTGAAGGGAGGCTACACCTTACAGATTATGTGAAAAGATCAATATCATCTAATAATAATAATAATAATAATTTTAATTATTATTATTATTATTATAAAAATCAAACGCGCGTATATTTTGGCTATATGCACCTTTCAGGGTGTTTAATGCTTAATAAATGTTGTTGTTGTTGTTGTTGTTGTTGTTGTATACATGAAAAAGTTTAACATTAACAAAAATAAGTAATTAAAAAGACCACTCAATGGTCATAGCGGGTAATATTATTAATATGTGCCTTTTTCGTACAAAACTTCTAACAGATTTCGGCGGTTTAGCCCTTTTTAAACTGAAAGAAGGTTCATGCGGGACAATTTAACTATGAACTTTTTAAAGTAAATGTGTATTTTATAAAATAGCAGGCTTTAAAAAATAATAAGATGCGTAAATTATATAATAGAAGCTATTGTACTTGTATATGTCTTCCTTTTCGTCCGTTTTAATATGCTTCACAGTGACTAATTATTTATGTCTTTGCAATCGTTAATTGAAGGGTAGGATATTGTTTATCAAATGTATCAATCAACTCCTTTGCATTACAGATGAAAAATCTAAAAATACATATGCGTCATTATACGGTATATAAGTATTATAAGTATTTTTAAATTACTTGAAATAATACGCAACGTTTTAATGGCGTCAAACTGTAATTATTTTGTTTTTCTTGATAGATTCTTTTCATTTACTTAACTTTTTTTGTCTTAAAGATTATGCTGACTAAGGCTTGCTTCAATTGTTTAATAATATATACATATAGTGTTAAATTTTGACATTATATCAAAATTTGAATATTTTTTGTTATCTTGATGGACCAAAAACGTATACCGGAGACTACTTTTATGTATTTTAGACATTTGAACCTTTGTGGAATTCTTTCATAAATTTTTTCCTTAACGCAAGCAGTTTTTACCTTAAAGTGTTTGATCATATTAATAAAAAATTTTCAGCTGAGCAATTGAGGGTTACTTAATGCGTCTCCTTTGTTGTCGGATTTAAAAAATAAACAAAAGGAAATGTTCGCCACTTTAAGGGAAATTCC